TTTTTTTTTTTTTTTTTTTAGAGACAGAGTCTCACTTTTGCTCAGTCTCACTTGTGCCCAGCCTAAACTCAAGTCTATTTGGGTCTTAATCCACATTCTTTTCTCCACACCACATTGCTTTAGTAGCAGTAATTTACATATGAGAGAGGACCTGCTTATGCTTCTGTTTCTAAGCATGATCAAACCAGAAAAAAAAGGAAGCAGAAAGAAAGAAAAAGAAAAACCCAGTAATTTGCAAATACAAATTATGCCTTTCAGACAATTAAAAACACTATAAAGTTGAAAAACAAGCAGTGAAATGGAAAAACAATTGTACATGTATGACAAGCAGATTAATAATTTAGTTAATTATAAACAGAGTCTCACTCTGTTGCCCAGGCTAGAGTGCTGTGGCATTATAGCTCACAGCAACCTCAAACTCTTAGGCTTAAATGATTCTCTTGCCTCAGCCTCCTGAGTAGCTGGAACTACAGGTGCCTACCACAATGCCTGGCTAGTTTTTCTATTTTTAGTGGAGATGTGGGGTCTGAGTTTTGCTCAAGCTGGTCTGGAACTCCTGAGCTCAAACAATCTACCTGCTTCTGCCTCCCAGAGTGCTAGGATTATAGGTGTGAGCTATTGCATCTGACTCAGATTAATATTTTAAATTTAGTATCTGAGTAACTGGGACTACAGGTGCCCACCACAACACCCAGCTATTTTTTTGTTTGACTTATGTTTGACTTACATAATAAATATATTGAGAGCACTTACAGATGATTAAGGAAAACCACAATGACTCTTAAAAAATATTAAGGGACATGAATAACCTAGTCATATGTGTGTACATATATACTGGGGAAAGGAGGATCAGTAATTACACAAAAAGATATTCCAGGCTGGCATGGTGGCTCATACCTGTAATCATAACACTCTGGGAGATGGGAGGATTGCCTGAACTCAGGAGCTTGAGATCAGCCTGAGCAAGAGTGAGACCCTGTCTCTACTAAAAATAGAAAAACCAGCCAGATACTGTGGCAGGTAGCTGTAGTCCCAGCTACTCCAGAGGCTGAGGCAAAAAGGATTGCTTGAGCTCAAGAGTATGAGGTTGCTGGGAGCTATGACACCATGCCACTCTACCTAGGCAACAGAGTGAGACTCTGTCTCAAAAAAGAAAAAAGAATGAAAATCTGTGTACCTTTTCTGGAAGATAATTGTCTTTAAAGTATTTAAAATTAAAGAAAGATACCCTTTTACATAGTTATTTTGCATCTTGGAATTTATTTTACCAAAAGAAGATGAAATTATATCTTTATATTTTATAAAGATAATTCAGAAATAACTTACAACCACAAAAAATTTGGAAACTGGCTCGGTGCCTGTGGCTCAAGTGGCTAAGGTGCCAGCCACATACACCTGAGCAGGCAGGTTCGAATCCAGCCTGAGCCTGCCAAACAACAATGACGGCTGCAACCAAAAAATAGCCCGGCGTTGTGGTGGGCACCTGTAGTCCCACCTACTTGGGAGGCAGAGGCAGAAGAATCACTTGAGCCCAAGAGTTGGAGGTTGCTGTGAGTTGTGATGCCACAGTACTCTTCCCAGGGTGACAGCTTAAGGCTCTGTCTCAAAAAAAAAAAAAAAATTTGGAAACCACTTAAATACCTATAAATAAACACCTTGAGAAAATATGTTACACCCATGGAGTGGAATATAAAGCCATTAACAATGATGTTTATAAAAATATGACCACACGAGAAGATGTTTACAGCATGCTATTAAAAAAATAAGGTAGATGATACTTATATACAAAATTGTGTACCTCTCATTTTTGTCAAAGTATAATCAAAGGACTAGGACAGAATAGACACAAGAGGTTAATGCTTATTTCTAGATGGTAGACTACTAGAGGATCTTTATTTTATTCCTTAAAAATTTTTTTTCTCCTTTCTCCCATTCATTTTAGTACTGAGTTGGGAACTATTGCTTCTTTTCTTTTACAGGCAAATGGCATCAAGATTGGGCCCCAGCAGTCAATTTCAACATCACTGGGACCCAGTGTCTCTCAGCGGAACTGTCGTGACGTGGCGTCCAACTCTGGCTGCTGCTGAACATCTGGCCTGAACTCCTTTTTTTCCTTCCTGGAACAGCTTCAGATCAATAGGCTTAATGAAAGAGGTCTTACTTGCTTTAGCTGAGAGCAGCCTCTTTTCAAGGTGTGATGTTTTGCCTTTCCACTTAAAGACCAGGGAAGAATTTGGGCCCTTGCTGACCTGTCCTTCTTCAGGGACGTGAACATTCCCTATAGATTAGGGCTCTTCTCATTCTCTTATTTTAATATTTCTAAAATGTTAGGATCAAAGTTGTCACAGTAGTTCAAAAATAAATAATTTTATAAGCATATACAATCTGTTCCCCACCAAGAATTAGGGTCAAGGACATTCTGCTTGAACACCTGAAATTATTGTGATCTGGCTGGCCTTTAGATGATAGATCCTCTGCTGAATAATTTCACTGAATTTTTTTCTTGCCTTTGGGGGTCTACTTGCCACTTCAGAAGAATTTTTACAGAAGGCAATTCCTTCTGTTTGCTTAAGGATGCTGAGTACTTCTTTACTATCTAATTGCTAGTTTCTATCTCTTAGAATAACTGCAAAACTTCTGAGAGCAGTAGAGTTGGTCCTAGACCTATGGCCACTTATTGCCTAAAGAAAAATCTGTTCTCTGTTCATTTTGTTTTAGGTACCAGATCTAATATTATAGTGTCTTTTGTCAGATAGACTTCTACTGTTTCATCATCATACATACTTCTTAACTAAACCTAGTTAGACTTTGTACTTTAATCAAGCTAATCTGCTTACTGAACATAACACATGTATTTCTATTTCCATATCTTTGCACATGCCCTGCTCTTTCACTAAAAGTATATTTAAAAGTCCAAAAAAATTTTTCTTTAGGAAGCCTTCAGTGATTGACCTAGGGAATTCTAAGCAATTATTGAAACAGTACCTTTTAGCTTTCATATGTTATCATATGTATATTTATATGTATATTTATTTATATGTAACTTTGTAAATGTTTTGTAGTTGTTTTATGTGTGCAATCTGTCTCCTCATATATGTTGTAAACTCCTTAATAACAGAATCCATGTCCTTCTCTTACTTTTACAAACCATTCCCCCTACCATTCCTTCACAGTGCCTAGTGCTACTCATTATGTGATCCTTTAATTTGACTGAAATACTTAAGAACTTAAAGTTTATTTTAGGCTTTAGAGGAAACAAAAGACCTTAAAGTCATCTCTTTGTAATTCTACTTAGCTCTTCCATCTCCTTGGCCTGGGTACTATATTATTCTTTCCCCTCTCCACTCCTGTTCCCTGGCTCTTTGCTTCCATTCCATGCAACATAAAGTAAGGCTGCTTGTTACCAAGTAGTCAAATGAGTGGGTACTTCTCCAGCCATTCTCCTTTTCAGAGCATATAATACTATCCTAGCCAAATTTGCCTTTGCTTCACTCATCACGCAGGCTTCTGAGTCAGCTGATATATCTTTTTTTTTTTGATGTCCCATTTTCTTCCACAGCACTGAGGTCCCATGAATTTTCTAATTGTTTTTTTTGTCGGTTGATAAGTTGTTTCTTTATTAAATATATGCATGTATCCAAGCTGTTCATCTTCCATGTGTCATTTCTGATTGTATCCCAAACATTAGTAGTTGTTCTCTTGCTAGGGGATTGTATAAAAGATATGGAAGAAGCCTCCTATTTGGAATTTGTTTTATACTGGATTTTGACCCCAGTAATGGTATTAATAGTTAACACCCTCATTACAGTAAGTAGAAAGATATTTAGGGTATGACTTTGTGGGTTTTTTTTTTTAATCCTGGCTCATTCTAAAACAGATTTGAGCTGCTGAATTTGGAATTAGCCTGCTCCCTTACACAGGGACAAAACTAAAGTAATTATGATTTTGTTGTTTCTGTATAGAAACTTTTCCTTACCATCTAAAAGAATCTTTAGCATTAGACATTGGTCAAAGACAGCATTCTGCCTATAGCTGCTTTCAAAGTATTAAAAGGTAACATTTTGATATTTTGGGACTTAAATCTCAATTCTCACATCCAGTTCTGTTACCCAAACCAACTTATAACCTTCTGTACTTGGGTATTTCACCAATTTTAAGAGAAGCATGAGAAACAAAAATATCTGGGCAAATTCATGAGCTGTCTTCTGAATGGAGTGCTCATGTTCTAAGCAAAGCAGTCATGAAGAATTATAGAAAAAGGATCTCATACCCTATGTGAAGAAGAGTAGTTATGAGATAATCTGGGTGTTGACTGGTCTTTGAAAGTCATGATAAAGATTAAATGGAGTTATCAGAAATTATTGCATCAGGCCGGGTGCAGTGGCTCATGCCTATAATCCTAACACTCTGGGAGACCTAGGGGATGTACTGCCTGAGCTCACAGGTTGGAGACCAGCCTGAGCAAGAGCCGAGTACCTGTCTCTAAAAATAGCCAGGCAGTTGTGGTGGGGCCCTGCAGTCCTAGCTACTTGGGAGGCTGAGGCAAGAGAATTGCTTGAGCCCAAGAGTTTGAGGTTGCTGTGAGCCATAAATGCCATGGAACTCTACCCAGAATGACAAAGTGAGACTCTGTCTCAAGAAAAAAAAAAAACTCGGATCAGGCACTCCTTTTCCCCTTTCCACAATGCCTATAAACTAGTTCCTTTCTAAACCAATTAACTAGAAGGATAATAGCCTCACGTTCTAGTAACTACTAAAATTAAGATACTATTTGTATGTGTATGTTTTTCTGGTAAATCCTAATAGTACAAATTTGATATGGCACAAGTAGCTAAGAAAATGTGACTAACAGATCTTGTTCAATATACAGGGAAATGTATCTGGCCAAGTCTTATCACCTTTCTGATAAAATACAAAGTCATCATATGACTCCTTAAGGCCTCTGAGCTCCTATCATGTAAGACCATGCAATTATGTTACTCCTTGAGAAATTGTGGAAGGACTCTCTTCACTCACATGCTTAAAAAGATTTCTTGTAGTAAACTGTAATAGCAGTAGAGATTTAGACTAGGAAATACAGGGAAATCTTTCTTATTGTGTACAAGAGAATTTCACCTACAATGAAATCGTTTCTTTTACCATTTAAATGCAGTTGTTAGAAAATTATTCTCTCCAGCCAATGTTTCCAAGGCTGCCCCCTAATGGTCTTCCTGCTCCTTACATAAAATGTATCCTTCAAGCTTGTATCGTTTGCATTATCTGTAGTTTGGATCTGACGATTAATTTTAGGCCTTTTATAAAATTTTTTAAAATTTGGAGTTCTTACCTAAATCCTGTTCTTTCTTTCCAACTGATTCCCCGTGCTCTGTATTGCCAAAGTCAGAACACTGGAAAATTTCCAAGCGAAGCATAAAGATTAGAAGCATCTAGAATAAATAACTTACGTGATATTCTGAGGAGTGAGGTGTCGCTAACGGATTATTACCCTAGGAACTTGCAACATTCACTCTCATTCGAGGAATTAATTTTGTTTCTTTGATTTGTTAAAATTGCTTCTTAAGTGAGAGTGGTGGTGGTTGCCTCTAACCACACACATGATTCCTGAGTTTCTCCTCGGGACCGAGGAACATCTTGACAATATACATAGAAGAGATGTTGGGTCCCGACCTAAATAGTCGGACAGCATGCTTAAAAGGACTTCAAATTCTTTAAGCGCTCCTACCCTGTCCCCGCCCCCAAGGCACCAGCCCGATCCAAGATGGCTTCCCAGAAACAGGTAACTAAGTGTTGTTTTAGTTCAGAGCGCCCCCAACGGCGGGGGTCAAAATAAGATGCTGAGGGCCTGGCCGCCAGTAAACTGAACCGTCAGAGGCGAGCTGCCGCCAGATTTTATTTTCAATCAGGCATATCTGTGGTTGCCTACGTACCCTTCTGAGCCCTAGGGCCTCCCATCCTCGAGAGACTTCCTGGATGGCGCTCACACTACCCCGCTAGAAGAGGCCCGGCTTCAGCTCTGCCATTGGTGAGTGGGGGCGGAGGGGGCGGAGCCTAGGGCGAATGGACTACTAGCAAGCTAGATTGAGGCGAGGGCTGGCCATGCTCCGCCGGAAGGCGCCTTGTTCTTGGAGAGGGTGAGTTGAAACGCTGACTGGAGAGGAAGCACTGGGACTTAATCAGGTAGGCATCCCTCTCACGCCTGCTCCTTAGTGCTGTTCTAGTAGTCTTTGCAAAAGCTAAGGTTCTTAGAATTGATTTCAGTCATTACTCCTCCTCCCTTCTCTTCCACCGCCTTTCCTGTTCCCCACTTGTGAGGGATCAGGTGTTGAGTGATGCTTTGGACTGAACCATTCTCCTTTGTGAGAGGCCGGGGGAGAGGGTGGCTGCCGGGCAGCGGGGTCCCAGCTAAGCCAAGCGGTGAGGAGGTTGCCTGGGTCGCTGTGGAGTTTTTATAGCTTGTCATTGCTTTGCTGGGCGTAGTTAGATTGAGGCAGCGCCCGTTCTCCTTCCCGCTTCAGAGGAGGGAAAACTCACTTTGGACCCAGAAGTGAGAGGTTAAGATCTTTTACTTCTTTTCCCCCTTTTTCTTTTTGTGTTTTAGTAATAAAGGTGGGTAAAAGCATGGGGTGAGCATATGCAGACTGTTATTCATTCTTAGGTGTAATATCTGTAGGTCTTGTGGGAGCGAAGAACAGACTGTTGGAGAGCGTTTAGAGATGGTGGAAAGAGAGGAGATGAGGTGAAGCCTTGCATCTCCTTGACAGGTCTGCGGAGCTCTCTCCTTTCTGTTACATTATGTAAACTCTTTATTGGAAAAAGACCCCTCCCCCTTCCTCAGAGTGAATGCAGTGTCTTTATTTACCTGTCTTTAGTGTTGCAGGGAATTTCTCCGCAGCTGCTGTGCAAATACAGCAGCTCCTGCCTTTTAAGGGGCAGTTCTGAGGTGATTAAGGTCTTCACAGAAGTATGTAGGGGACCAGTCTCTTCCCAATGGCTGAGCAAAGTGAGCAAGAAGTCAAAGATTTAAAACTCTTTTTCTTTTCAAAAATAGATATGATGGAACCCTTCCAGTACAATCCAGGGGAGCTGCATTTCTGTGTCTGCTGCATTCTACCATCATACCCACATCCATAGTTGATTTAATCTCCATGTTTTTCTGAATTTGTAGACTCAGAGACTGGGGTATCCTTAGCATCTGCTGAGGTTCCATCTAGTGCGGGGCACATTAGATTTGACAGTGTCCTCTGTGATTTGGACAGTGTCTTCTACTAATTAGATTGTGTCTTCTACTTGGGGGTTTATTGTATATTGGACACCCAGTAGTTTTTTGGTTTTTTGTTTGTTTGGGTTTTTTTTTTTTTTTTGAGACTTACTTTGTTGCCCTGGGTAGAGTGTGGTGGCATCAACATAGGTCACCACAGCAACCTCAAACACTTGGACTTGAGCAATCCTCTAGCCTCAGCCTCCTGAGTATCTGGGACTAGGGCACTGGCCACAATGCCCAGCTAGTTTTCTATTTTTAGTAGAGACTCGGTTTTGCTTTTGCTCAGGCTGGTCTCAAACTCCTGAGCTCAGGCAATCCACCTGCCAAGAGTGCTAGGATTACAGTCATGAGCCACCATGCCCCACCACCTAATTGGTTTCAAAACAAATTGTGGTCAACCTTCTAGGGCTAGAAGTGGGAAACTTTAAGCAAGGTTAAGGACACTGGCCCTGGCGAGGGTAGGTGTGTATAAATAGGCAGGCTTGAGAGAAGGTTTAAAATCAAAATACCAAAGGAGTAATTGGGATAGAGATTTGATGGAGCGATATATCAGCATTTGCACAGTTCTCACATTCCATATGTTTGATCTATCCTGTTCATCTGGTCTTTTGATTTCATCATCAGTT